GTGGTTATGTTTATAGAGAAAAGGGGACGCGGGCGGTATAAATTTAAAACATTAAACATATATAAATTGATTAGTTATCGATATTCATTCAGTAAAAATGAAAATTTCAATGAATTCGGGTGCAACGAGCGAGGTATCTTATTTGAAACCCGGTGATCCCTATTTTTTTCCTTTCTATGGGCGCATAGTGGCTCCCGGAATTTTACTCTTCTACTGTTCCTAAAGTATCTTATACGAAACCTCCTGTGTATTTCATTGAAGAATTCATTTTCCACCACGGCGGGCGCAAAGTACACTTTCCCTCCCGCTTCGAAAAAAAGTTTTTCACAATTTCACGTTCGTGAAAATTTCGTCTCACTCGTATAGAAATATACCATTTCCTGGGGTGAACTTCCCTTCACCCATTGAAAATAATTTACTTCGCTCAAATAAATATGGTCTAGATATTAGGAATTTAATCTCTTAAGGGATCATTCTGGTTTAGACACTTAAAAAAAAGGACAATTAAATAAATTTATTTAGGCTTTTATTTATAGAAATAGTAATAATTTATTAAATAAGTCCAGTAAATATGATCTTAAAAAACACAAAAAAAAATTTTTCAACTAATATTTAACTCTTTATATTTATGAAAATGGCCGCCAATTGTAACGTCTCGCGGAATTGACATGTCACTGGCGGCGTTGATATCTCGATGATGGATCATCTGAAATGAAAAAACCAAAAATATTTAGATTCAGTATGAGTGTAGCTCTCTTGCAAAGCAGAATTATAATTATTTATTAATAATTAACAAAATGGCGGACATGTAAAAAAAAAACCTGAAAAACGCGTTTTTTTTTGCGTTTTTCGCGTGAAAAAAAAATAGTAAAAATTAAAATTTTAATATAATTCTGCTTTACTGGAGAGCTATTTATGTGGAGAATATGTGGTTAAAATTTCAAGAGAATCGGTTCAGTGGTTACGGAGAAATCACCGCCGCCGACCGGAAAAATGTAGTTTTGAGAAAAACGCGTTTAAAGATTTTTTTAGTGAAAAATCATGAAAAAATCTTACCTTCACTTAATCTGCAATGCCTGCACCGTACAAAATGCCTTCAGCCTGCTCAAAATTTTCATTTTCTTCCAGTCTAGCCTTCTTTTGCTCAGTTCTGGCCTCTTTGGAAGACTGGGAGCTGCGTCGATTAGACAATTTCACGCGCTTTTTATCGCGGTCTTCGGCAAAATTTGNTTCAACCTCGGAGAGAAAACTGATGCCGCTTCTCAAAAATCTAACGAAAACCGAACTGAGCAGCTGTTTGAATGAATGGAAACAGAAAGCGGATTAGACAAGAGATGGGTCGGCCGAGCGCGCACAGGTAGTAAGAGGGCTGCAGGTCAGTTGCGTCCCGCGGTCAAGAAAATGTCCGAGTTAGTCATAGTTAGACATCTCCAAATATTCTAAAAATTTTACACAATACTTTTGAATGTGTATCCTTTCCGAAAATGAAAAAAAAAATCGATTTTTGAAAAATTTTAAACCAGAATGATCCCTTAATGCTTTGAGTTGATTTTGTGAACACTTCGTGCTCTTTAAAATTTCTGGAGGGATCGAAGGAAATTATGGGATGGAAAATTTGTTGTACAGTCACGTTGGTAATTCCTTTACGACTCTCGATAACTTCTGGATGATGAAGCACTCGGGAAAGTTTCATTTTGTAAAGTTTGGGTGATGTTTTGATAGGGAAATTTATCGAACGGTTTTTACAGAGTGCCGAAGAGCAGAAGTGAATTAAAAACTTTTTCTTGCCAAGTTTGTTTTGAAAATATCTTTGGGAGTAGTCGATTTAGAGAAAAATGCTCAAGAATTTATCGCTGAACTTGTTCATTTCAACGATATTTATAGAATAATTTGCAAATTCACTATGAGATTGTCTCTAATTTCATGATTAAAGCGAAATAGGAAAAACATTTTTTTTTAAATTAGTCACAGTTTCTTCTTAACTCGTTCTACGGGTTGTAAACATGATATTCCATAAAAAAATTTGATTTCATGATTTATTAACATTAATAATGAATTCAAAGTTGAGTGCTCAAACATACGCCGCCGGAACCGATACGTCGGCGTAAGCTGCCCACGTGCGAGAGTGATATTGCGCGGGTTCCGCTGAGAGAGTGAGTAAGAGACATACGAACTTCCCCGTTGTGACGTCACAGCCCAATTTTTTATTAACGATTTCTCATTGAAAAATGTGCTTCTTTATTCTGAAATTTGTGGCTTTGTTGAAAAAAATTGACCAATATTTTTGTGTACCACAAACTTTTTTTTGTAAAGATATTTCCTAAGTGATTCCAAGAGCGCCCACTCTATCCATTTCAAAACTGGTCAACTCAAGCAAACTTATTATTTTGTGAAAATCTCTAAAACTGAGGAAAATGACGAGAAACATTTCATCTGACATTTATGTCTAGGACGATTTATGGGGCAAAAGAAATGTTAAAAGTCATCATCTGGAGTTCAAGAAATTCTATTTTTAAAAATCCCGTTGATTTTTTATAATATTTTTTTCTAAAACCATTTGCAAAGGTATTATTAGATTGTCTCCAATTTAACGACTGAAGTGAGAAAATTGTTTAGTGAATATCTCCGGAAGCAATAGATTTAATTAGCATGCCATCAGTACGACCGTGTTGTAAAATGAATGATCAAGAAATTTTTTTTTTTAATGTTAGTTTATTGATATGTCACAGTTTTCAATTTTCATCATACTACAATATTATTATCTCCACCAATTGGAAGAAAAAAAATCGAAAAAGTCGAAAAATTGGAATTTTCAGAAAAGCTTACATATTTTTGTCGTCACTATATTATGTTTGTAGTAACCAAAATGCAAGTCAGTCCTTCAAAAATCCTGGTAAAGGGACTATTTAAAAGATTTGATGCCTGTACAACCACATGCAGTCAACACAGTTAAAAAATTGCAGGCGGCTGTATCTTCGATACAGCTATAATTGTACGCGGGCACGTCCATGGTCTTTCCTTCTTTCTCAAATTTCCTAGAAACTTCTTGCATTCCCTCGAATTTTCTAGAAACTCCTTGAATTTTTTTGAAATTTTAAGAAACTTCTCAAATTACCTCGAAATGTCTAGAATTTTCAAGAATTCCGATAGATGGTGCTGCACATAAGGACCGCCAAAATCCCCTCCATCCGTTTCCCAAAATGATCTCCCATATGGAAACCATAGACGCATCCACGTCAAAAATATTTGATGGTGTCGTGTGTGAGTGCACTCACACCAGAGACACTAACCAAGAACTAGAATATTTAACCATGGTTAAATATTCTAGTGTTAAAAGTAATTCTGTCGCCCGGAGTCAAATTTTGGTACGGAGTCAATTTTTATTATTCACACGGAGCTGTATTGATTAATATGTTCATTTTGACTCCATGGCAGTGTCAATTTTCACTCCACTCGCTGAATTTCACTCTGGAATGAATTAACTCCGTACATTTACAATGAAAAACGGTATGGACTTATTGTAACTCCGTTTGGTGTAGACTTAGAGTCGAAATTCACTCTGGATTTTTTACTGTGAATGAAAAATATTAAATTCGATTTTTTCTCAATTTTTGAGTATGAAAATGAATACTACAATCATCTGCATTGGAGGGATAATCCCCTACAACTTTTAAATTTACTCCAAATTTGCCCTTACAAATGTTGACAAATATTTTCATGGATCTGAAAATTTCCCTTGTTATATTTTCCCTCAGACTTTTTTGGAAAAGGATATTTACCAAGTCATTTCAAGATCGCCTACACGGATGAGAGAAATATTCAATAAAAATACGTATCTTTTCCGTAATTCCGGAGCGAAATGTGGTTGTAGAAAATTTTGCGGAACTATCACGGAATTTTTCCAGAGCGTTCCGTAATTTTTATCTGAATCTCCTGTGAAAAATTACGATACTGTCACTTAAATTTTCTGAGTCGATTCCATAATCGGTGAACGAATTGTGAGTTCCGTAATTTTTACTGAACATTTCTCTCCGTGTACGTCTCGCATGAAAAAATTTAATAGAAATTTAATAGAATTCGCTAGAAAATTCTATTGGAATTTTATAGGAATTCTATGGGGTTTCTATAGGATTTCTATTGAAAGTCTGTTGAAAAATTTTTTTTTTTTTGCGCTGATCCCCCAGTACGGATATTCAATAAGAAAACGTTAATAGATTTCGAATTTCTGTTTGAATTTTTCTCTTAGATTTTTTCTATTAGAATTATTGAGCACAAATTTTCTAAGTTTTTCCCGCTGGATTTTGTTTTGTTTTGCATTGCAGAATCCGAGTGGAAAAAACGTAGAAAATTAATGCCTAAGCATTCTTATAGAAAAAAGCTCAAGAGAAAAATTCAAACAGAAATTCCAAATCTGCTGACTTTTTCTTATCGAACATCCAATAAAATTAACAGAAAAAACAATAGTATATTGTGCATCAAGGGCCGAAAGTCATGTTTTCCCGCCCGAGGTGCACATGCTATTTTTTAACACGCCTGCAAAGGAAAGTTTGTATTTTGCTGTCTGATGAGCGGGAGGAAAGTACGAACTTTCCGTGCAGGTGTGTGAAAAATAGAATTTTTCACTGGAATTTCAATAAAAATCCTATAGAAACCCCATAGAATTCCTATAGAACTACAATAGAATTTTCAAGCGAATTCCCTAGATTTTCTGTTGAATTTTTTCATACGTGATAATTCACTTCAAAACTCGTCGACTAACGTAAACCTATTATTTTGTAACTATTTCTAAAACATAAAAGTGCCCAGAAACAGTCCAACTCATGGTTCCACAATTTATATTTAAAAAAAATCTCAATGACATCTTCTGGAGTTCATAAAATTTTCCACAAAAACGTCTTTTCGCCACGGGAGGTAAAATAAAGGACCCTTGCCCACGTGCAGAATTACCACCCGAGCCGAAGGTCGGGTGGTAATTCTGCACGTGGGTACGACGTCTTTATTTTCCTTCCCTTGGTGGGAAATATACTATGCCATATTCCCTCCCAACCTCTCCCTTCCCGATAAATTTTCAGAACCAATCTGCCCGCAATTGTTTTCCCCTTAACATGTTGATCCCCCAATACATCTCCGATAAGCCCCAACAAATTAAGGTAACAAGTTTAATACCTCCCCCAAACAATCCCCAAACCCGTCCCTAGTCATAAAACAGATCCAAGTAATTCTGCAGTGTCCTCGGTATCTGCAGACTTTTAATTCCATGCGGTAGCGCCCAATTATCAAACAAGCACTGTCTTATTCTACACCGGCACAAGTGTCTGAGCTCAGCCGGGCAATATCCACTCCTATCGGCCCTCACGAAATTTCTCTCCACCAAATTGGGAAATTGCTCCCACAATGTCACACTCTCTATCCCACACACTTCAGCAATGTGACTGGGTGTTCTGACCGATCCCACAGTAACTGTTCGCAGTAGTAATCTCAGGCAAACTAGCAGATTCTCGGGTATAACGCGATTGGGCTCGTCCTCAGTCTCGTACTCGTTCAATTTTGCCAATAGAATTTCCAAAGGCGTTGGAGAGAATTTATCCGATTCCGTCGAGGCGCCATAGCGCAGCATAATCAGGAGAATGTCCGGTGCTCCATGCTGTACGGCCACTCTCAAGGGCAACACTTGACCGTATGATTCCATTGGCACATCGATAAACCTCCGCTTCATCGAGTCCAACTCGCACATGTACTCCAATCGCCCCTTGATAGCGTGGTCCAGGAAGTATACGAGTCCCCGGATATTCTCATCCCTGTCCGCAAAATCACTCTTCCAACCCGACAGAAAGTGTGTCACTCGTATTCCAAATATTGCACCGACAAATATCCTCTCGAATGTCTTTTCACAGTAGTAAATGTCGTTGAGTAAACGTGATACCACACGATTATTATTGAGACTCCAGTCGTAACACAATTTAGCAGCGACGTATAAAACATTGTGGAATTTGCCCAGGAGGCAGACTGAGCCATTCTCCGACATACTGATGTTGTGGTAACGCAAGGCCGATTTAACTATTCTCTCGCACACGTCGTTGGTATCGAGACTCTCGGCTTTATCAAGAGAAACAGAAATATTGGGATTGGATCAGATGGAATTCTGGGGTTCAGCGGTGAAATTTAATTGGTTCAGTGTGATGGATTTGTTAATTGGGTGATTATCTCGGTAATTAATGGGTTTGGGGGAAAATGTCAGAGGTTTTTTGTTGGAAATTTTTTATTGACAAGAACGGCGAATAGTTTCTCCTATCGATAATTATTGAGATTTCATTTCATTTGGGTTTTCTTTCAGACAGACCCAACAGCACACGAATAATTATAGGATCAAATTAAATGAACGTGAAGTATAATAGTGAAATTAATAAAGTGAATAGTGGAGAATATTATTTATGACGGAAAGAATGATTTCGTAATTTTGGAAAAGGAAATGATTTCAATTGATGATTAGGTTTTTTTGAATTTCCAACAGTATAGTAAAATTACTGAGATGATTTGTTAATTTTTGTCTGCTATTACGAGCAGGAATTGATCTGCATTGATGATGAAATTTGTGCAAACCTCAAATATTTGGAAAATAAGTTATTTTGAATTAAATTTTGAAAGACCTTTTTTGAAGATGAGCAGATTTTTCTAAATGAAGGTTCTCCTAATTTATTTCAGCTTATTACCTTTCCTACTGACTCTACACTATTGGTAAATTGCTATTGAAATTTTAGGTAAAATATTTTAAAATGTTTTAACAATGACTACTTTACATAAAATTTCAATGATCACTTAAGGATATCCGGGCAGGGGTGATGGGCCCGGCGCGTATCTGGGAGACCCGGGTTCGATTCCCGGCTGGGTGAAGCGGAAATTTTTTCTCTCTAAATTCTAATTCTCTTAGAATTCTTTAATGCCTAAAGGAGGTTAGGCGGTGTTTGAGGTGAATTTGAGAGTGAATTTCTGTGGTTCCCGGTAGCTTAGTCGGTAAGAGTGCCCGGCGCGTATCTGGGAGACCCGGGTTCGATTCCCAGCTGGGTGAAGTGGAAATTTTTTCTCTCTAAATTCTAATTCTCTTAGAATTTTTTTTTTTTAATACTTTGGCTATTTTCAATACTTTAGCTATTTTTTCTCCTGTGAAATGTTTTTATTATTTAAACATTGCTGGTCTGAATGTGAATCTCGATATTGAATCGTGAGAAAACATTTTAAAAATCTTTAAAAAAAATTCTAAAGTTTGCTTTTGGAGGAAGATTGATGAAATGATTGAAAAATTGCAATTTTTGAAAATTACGAGCATTTTCTATAAATAATTTATAAACAATCAATTTCGGAATCGCAACAAATTTATTCATTTTCAGAATTTTACCAGAAATCCATTTCATGTCTAAAAAATAAGGTTTTCGAAAGTTTAAACAATTCGAATTATTTATTTATCAACAACGAATGTTAAAAAAATAATAATTCTCTGCAAAATATAATTTGAATGATCCTGAATATTTATGATTTTTTCCATTTTTTCTCACGCAATTTACTTGACAAATTTGAAGATCGAAAATGGTTGAATCTATAGTGTGGTTTGTACCCAATTGTAAAAGATACTTGGATATCCTTGACTTAAAAAAACCTCTTTGATTTTTAATTAAATGGCAATTCACAAAATTGAAAAATTGAATTCCACTGTTACTTGAATGTCAAAAAATTTCCAACCATGTAGTAGAAAACGCGATGACTCTAGCTAAAATTGCAATATTCCAGTGAAATTTCTACTTGAAAGAACGAAGAATTTTCGTAAATATTCCTGAATCTTTCAACTGTTTTTTCTCTGCTCGCGATACGGTACTCATTCATATTTATATTCAGCGGCGCTGTTACCTTCTGAGACGCTGTTTATCACGTCCGAAAAATACCTGACGAGCTGACAGCGTTTGTGACGAGAGGCCAAACAATCACGCTCCATTTCCTCGAATAAACGGTCGAAGTAACAATCTATTAAGACCTCCATGATTTTCTTCTTCGGTAGAATTTTGGCTGTGGTTGAGAAAATACTTTGAGCAGACTTTTAATGACAGACTGGAGTAATGGCTTGGGTTGTTCCGTAGGGAATGAAGTACGCGAAAAGTGCAGGAAAAAAGAACAACGGGTGGGCTTGGGTAATTTCATTAGGCGATAAGGTAGAAGTGCAAGGGCTTCAATCTTCAGTTTCAAGGGAGGTATATCGCAGTTACGCTGACATTCGCACGAAGCTGGAGGAGATTATTACGGCTCTTACTCTTGTTGTTTATTGCCTTATGTCAGTGCTGGGGAGTTCCGGAGATTTCCGAAATTATTGAATGGGATTTTCGTAAGTTCATTGTCGAAGATTTTTTTATTGTCTTAGCTTGATTTGGAAATGTTTTCAAATTTATTCGCTGTTATTCATGATTGATCGAATAATTGGATTTTTTCTCATTTATTTCCTTTGTGATTGAACTCTTTTGTTTATTTTGTATCTAAGATAAAATAGTGAATTTAAAATTCCGATTGTTACGGAATTAAAACTTCACCATTAATGGTTAATTGAAAAATTAAATTGTTTGTCATTTTTCACGTTGGCTTTTTTGTTAATTATATATCCAGCCAGAAAACTGGTAGTTTCATAAGTAAATCTCAAGGAATCTCAGTTTTGAGGTTATCGTGGATTTGACATATGTTGATGAATGGCTTTTAAAGTGAAAACAATTTTGTTTCAAATTGAAAATTTTTTTGACAACAAACTCTCCTACATGATTAATTAATTTATTTGATTCATTTTCTTTTATTCACTCTGGACTTTGGCACAAAGCTACAGAAAATTATTATAGCTCTTCCCAAATATCCCAAATATTCCCAAAACTTGTGAATCTTCCCAAATATTTAAAAACAAACGCTTTTTCACAACGTCACAGTATTAAAAAAAATTATTTTCTCTCGTATACCCTTTGGGGTTTTTACGATTTGTTCCCTTCCCACCTCCCAACCCCCTGTACCGCATTCGCCGAAGGACGAGGGAAAACCTCACTTGAGGGAAAAACCTGCCCAGATACAGTCGTCCCTTTAACGAGACTCCCGCTCGACAGTGAAACTGTGAGATTAGAGTGTTACAAATTTTGGTTCCCCAGCCGGGTATCGAACCCGGATCGCTCACGTGCCAATCCTATACTCTAACCACACAGCCACGGCCGTCGCTCGTCACAGTATTATTAGAAAACTGTAAAACCCCTTTTGTTGAAAATCTGTTTGCATATTCACTCAAACTTCAAGTACTTCCAGGAAACTCCATTAATTTTGTAAAAAATCATTTTAAAAAATGCGAACAGGATACATAAACCTTAATTCAAATTTTTCCATTGTCAATCAAAGATCTAATTTTAACTGAAGGTCCTCTATTGTCTCAAGACACTTGAACAGAAATTTTCACATCGCCATAAATTAATGATTTGTTCTCACAACAATCTCCAATTACCTGCAATTTGATACTCGTCAACTCCTATTTACGAGTCTTCAGACTCTTTCCACCATTTCCTCTCATAAATTTTGAACAATAGATGACTTCTGGTGATTCACCTTTTTAATTCTTCTATCTCTCATTTTCGTCTGCACTTGAATACTTCAGCAACGAGTTACGTAGGTAAACGAATAATCTGTACACGAGCAGTAGACCCAAACATTTCAAAATTAGGGGACTTCGATCCCCGCTCACTTTGCGCACTCCCCCCCAATCTCTTCGGGCATGCTTACTGTCGGTGTCAAAAGTAGAGACCACTCGAAATAAACGTCTATAACTCAGTGAAAAAAAATCGTAAAAATATGAGACCAAATACACTGTGTAATATAAGTATTTCGCTTGCCCAATACGGAGTTTCAAGTTTTTAATTTGATTAGTTTATTTATAATCGCTGTGAGAAGCCGAAAAACCCCCCGATTTTCAGGGTCCGTAAAAGTCGGCAAACTTTGAACCGCTAGCAAACGTACGAAAATTTTTTTTTTTAAATCGTCAATTTTTTCAGTGATTTGTATAACCCCTGAGAAGCCAACCAGGGAAGAAAAAGATCGAAATTGCGATAATTATTCATTTTATTTATAGAAATGTCGACTGCGGCTATTTCGTTGTAGAATTGCCGAGCCGACCTGAAAAAAAAACAATGCATTTGGAGTTCAATGTAAAACACTTTCGGTCAATAGTTTATCAATAAACAATCTCCGTTGATTTTTAAAAAAATCAAGAAAATTTGTCAAAAAAAGTGCTGTTAAAACGATCATAACTCGTTATGGGGTTTATGGGCCCGCTCACCGCCAGTCCCTCAAAATTAAAAACACATGTGCACCCGGCTACCTTTTTCAGGGGCGTCGATACCAGTTTCAGCCGTTTGGGCCCTTTGGGGCGCCAATATACTGTACATTGCTGCTTTCCCATTAAAACAAAAATACAAACACGAATATTTTTTTTTTAATCATTATCTAATCTTAGCATATATATATATATATATATATATATATATATATATATATATATATATATATATATATATATATGTTTCCGAGCATACCCATAATTATTTTACTTTAGGGAATATTACGTAATTCTATTGTAATATTAATATTCTAATAATGATTCTAATTCACTCAGGTTCAACGGTGGAGACATGGCAGTGGTCATGATCGCAAAAATGAAGTAATGATTATATGCGGTTCTAAAAATGTTTTAGAAGGAGTTCTGCGATACTGTTGATTTAAAAATTCACTTGAATAATGAATTTGAAAATATTAAGTCATCATTTTCTTCCTGCAAAACAACATAGAGGAAAATTTGCCAAATATTGGTATAGTTTTGTATCTTCAAAAATTTAATTTTGTCGAGGCTGCTCATATGGTTTTCTTATGTGTAATGAACCTTTCTTGAATTCTTAAATTCTTAATATGTGCTCATTTTGCCGGATGCTTCAGTTGTCCAGGGTTTAAAATAATGAGGCTTATCGATTCATTAACAGTTGAATTTCTTTTTATTGTCGATATTTAAATTTTGAATATTATTCGGTACATGGGTCTTTCATTTTATTCTCGATTTTAACTTCGCTTTTTGCAATTTTACTCTTTTTACTCCCGGTATCCAAACAGAATTTTCATTTCTTTCAGCTCGACAATCTCTGCTTGGAATTAACGAGAGCTTCGGTAATCATATAAAATCTTGACTCTAATTATTTTATTTATTCATTCTAATTAATTAAATAGAGAAAGGAAAATCCCTCAGAACTGGTCTTATCAAGTTAGACTCTATTGTCATCCTTGAGATTTTTCCAATCCAACACAAACTTTATTATCAAAATAATGAAAATGACATTTCGAAACAATAAAATCATATAAAATCCACTGGATACAATCAAGATACAACAAATTATCAAAATTGCTCTCTCTTTTACATTTCTCATTATTCTCCAAGCAGCGGTCGTCGACTGATTGTCTATTTATTCGACCGTTAATTAGTTGCTCGCAGATTTTCTCACTAAATTCTCAAATTTACCGGGAATCTCCTCGGAGCAGAATACGAGTTAACAATAATATTGGTCAATTTGGGGGCAATTGTCAGTTGCCAAATTTGTTCCACCCCAAGAATGATTCTCGTAGGTTCCCACCCTTTTCCCCAGAGTTTACTACAGTCAGCAGGCTGCTTGCAATTAATTAAGTGTCTCCGATTGAGCACTTCAAATGAGTCGACTATAGCTTCAAGGCTACCTTCAAAAATTGGTAAGCATCTCCGATTGAGTGCTTCAAGTGAGTCGACTATAGCTTTCAGGCTACTCAAAATTGGTAAGCATCTTCGATTGAGTGCTTCAAGTGAGTCGACTATAGCTTCTAGGCTACTTACGAAAAGGGTTGCGTCCAAAAATGTTTCGCCACGATCCACCGCCGTGGATTGAAGTGGGCAGGTTATACTGCACACTGATCTGACAAATTTTCGCCACCGGCCGTAACTTATCAACTTTCCATAACTAAATCACAAGAAGAAAGCCCTGCGCTACTCGATCGCCTAGCGTCGTTTGTCGCAACTAAATTTAAATCTCCGTTGCCCCGTATTCTACTCCGTTTCGCTTTTAATTCCAAAAATCTTAGAAAATAATTCCTCACCGGTTTTGTGCATAAAATAAATAAATTTTTGTAAAGTAAAATATAAACTGTGAGGGTTCCTCACACTCTCTCCTTTCTTCACGAAAAAAAAAAGGAATGTGATCTACGTTCTCTTTTTTTTTTTTTTTTTCATATTAATTCCTCAGTTACCTATTAATTATTAAACTCTTGAGGTAGATTTATAAATCTTTTCTTATTTGTTTATTTATCTGGTATTATTATATTTTTGATTCTTTTTCAGTCTTAGGGTTTGCCTTGTACTGATTTCCCTCTTCTTAGACTATTTCTAACTATCACGTTTTATCACAGTGTTCGTGAATAATCAAAATCATATAAAACAAGTGTTTGTTCAAAATCTAGTCCCTCATTGACTTGTCCTTAAGTACGTAATAAAAATATTCAAAATGTTAACACAAAAGGTTACTGATGATTTTACAGTATTATCTCTAATAAACAATCCCTGTTATCTCAGTCAATGACTAATCCTAGTTTTTCTAGTCATTTATCTCTTTCGAGACTTTTGCTCATTAATCTAGTCATTTATCTCTTTCGAGTCTTTTTGCTCATTAATCTAGTCATTTATCTCTTTCGAGTCTTTTTAGTTCTTATTATTTTTATCATAAGGGATGAATTTATAACGAGTTCTAGAATTTGTTACAATCTTAATTTCTTTTCCCAGAGGGGTTTCCCTGATTGTTTTTACTTGAGCATGGATACGAGGCTTGTAAGCTCGTCTCCAGGGTGTGTAAACTGGGACATATCTGCCTGAATACACGGGTTGTGGGTTTTTCAGGTACCCAAATTGGCGTTCCACGTTATATTCTCTTGTACTTAATCCTAGTCTCGGATCAATCTGGTATTTCAATGGTCCCTTGGGAAGTGTACGAGGATCTTCAACATCGATTGTGATTAATCTCCAATCGTTCTTGGGTTCAGGCTCGTT